GTCTGTCTCTGTCTCTCTCTGTCTCTCTCTGTCTCTCTCTTTCTCTCTCTCTCTGTCTCTCTCTCTCTCTCTCTCTCTCACACACACACACACACACTATATAAGATTCAGACACACCAATGAGGTCAGGACATGGAAAAAGGCATCCTTCTCAATGCAGATTCATCCACTCAGTCAGTATTTCTCAACCTTCACGTCTTCAAGATGCGTGGACTTCAACTCCCAGAATTCCCTAGCCGGCATGCTGGGAGTTGAAGTCCACACATCTTAAAAGTCATCAAGGTTGGGGGGGAAAAACACTGCTTTAGGACCTTTCTGAGGCCTGGGTACCTACCCTGTTTGCAATGATAAATCACAGGCTAACTTAAAGCCGAGTTAGATTGCTTGAAAGCCTTTAGGAGTAACTTGTAAGTAAGCCTACTCAATGTGACGTTGGGGAGCATTTTGGAAGCACATGCTGATTTTCTCTCTGTTTTTTCTTCTTTCATCAGGAGGACAGGAGGACTGCATTCTCTCCTATGAACCCGTTACACGGCAGGAAAGTAAGCAAGCTTTGGTATCTGTGGCGCGGTGGCATGGTAGCTCAGTGGTCAGAGAAGAGTACGGCTGGCTACTTCTGCTGACTGCCATCTGCCAGCAGTTTGGCAGATCGAATCTCACCATGGTCAAGGTTGACTCAGCTTTCCATCCTTCAAGGGCAGAGGTGGATTCCTGCTGGTTTGGGCGAACCAGTTGTAGCTTGGTGGCCTAGAACTGGCAGTGAACCAGGCCTACCACGCTTCCAAACCAGTTCTCCTGTTTTTTGGCTTCTGCACATGCGCAGAGCAATTTTAGTTGTCCTGTGCATGCACGCATAGCATGCATCAAGCGCTGGCGCATAGCATCTAGCAGTATATCATATCAGAAACAAACAGCAAATATTGGTTTAATCAGTAACAATTATATAGCGGCATAAGCAATTCGTAATAAAAGCAAGAAAGAACTGAACCCAGATGAGCATTTCTGCAAACAGTAGATTACAGAGGCTACCTTTTAAAAATATTTCCTCCCCTCCTGCCCCATCTTATCAGGGGGTGGTTCAGAGGTGGGTTCCTAACAGTTCGCACCTATTCGGTGGAACCGGTTCGTCAAATCTACCAAACCGGTTAGAAGAGGTTCCACCAGTGGACCCGGAAAGCAGGCCACACCTAC